CATGGCCCCCCCCTCAGTCACATGCAGCCGGTGCCATCCCCCGCTGCTCCCCCCTCTGGCCACCGAAGGCCTTGCCAGCCCATAATACTCTTGCCTCTGGTCGCAGGAGGCCTCCAGCCCATAATATTCCCTTCCACCACCACCCCCCCTTCCCGCCCCGCACCCCTTCCTCCCGCCTCCAGTTGGATCCAGGCCTCACCAGCCCATAATATTCCCCAGTCTCCTAAGGCTGTTCCAGCCCATAATACTCTCCCTGTCTCCTAAGGCCTCTCCATCCCATAATACTGCCAGACGCCTGACCTGTGGGCCAAACCCCAGCCCGTTCCACACATCGAGGCTGTGTCAGCGCTGCTGGTCTCCCTCCCTGTCCCTCTCTCCTCCCTCCTCGGCGCTTTCCCTCCCAGGCTCCCTCCCGCCCTCCGGCCCTAGGCCCCTCTCCCGGCCCCACCCTGTGCCTGCCTGGGCCCTTACTTCCCCTCCAGCCTCCTCTCTTGCCCTTTCTCCTTTGCTGGGTTCTTCATCCCATGCCCCCTCTCCTCTCCCTTTCAGGCACTTTTCTACCCACTCCTCTGTCTGTGGGATAGACGTTAGGCCTAGTGGGGAGAGAGTGCCCCCAGAGGGCAACAGGCCAGTCACTGCCCCTGAAAACTGTCTACTTGACCTAGCACTGTGGAAACTTGCCCAGCCTGCCTTGCTCACCCATCCCCTGGCCCTGGTTCTGATTGCTGGCAGAGCCCTGTCTGGGTGAGGATTCACCTTGAAACCCTTGCTGTCTTCCAGAAACACTCCCCGTGGGCATCACAAACAGATTTTACCAATAGCATCTACTCCCCACACTCTTGTTGAAAAGAGAGCTCCCCCTTTTGGGGTTTCTCCCAGGTGCCTTTCCAAGGTGATCTCATTGACCTAACAGCAACCCAACAAGTAGATACTGTGATTCCCCATTTCACAGAGGAGAAAACAGAGGTTCAGAGAGTTGAAGTAACTCGCTAAGTCACATTGCCAAGAAGTGACAGAGCTGAAATTAGTACCCGCCCAGGTTGGTTCTGAGAGCCTTTGGGTTTCCCCAAGGCCTGTGTGAGAAACTTTGCTTTTTGGTGCTATCTCTTCTGGAGAGGATATAGCATGGTGAGAGCTACCTAGCCTCCCTCTGTCTCCAGGGTCTCCTGAAAGAATGAAGAAAGCAGGCCCGTGGTGTGAGATTTAACCTCTCCTTTCCCGTTTCCTCCATGGGAACTCCAGGTGGCAACCCAGTAGGGATTTCCCTCAAGCTGGTTCAGGGCTAAGGGAGAAGCATCCTGACCCTTTGGGACCCCCTTACCTTGGCCCTGGTTCTCCTGAATTTGTTTTATTTCAAGACCAATGATTGTTACTCTTCTCCAGGCTACTCACTGTGTGGAGGGACCTACAGAGGAGGGAACTCTTCCTACAGAAGAGGCAGAATTTGAGGAGAACCAGGGGAGGTCTTCTCTTCAGCTTAGTTGGTGGACAAGCAGGAGGGCTGCCTTGGAGATGCTGGGTACCTCCTGGCTAAGGGAGGGGAGTCATGGCCAACTGCACCAAGGCTGAGCCATCCCACCTGGGTGAGCCACCACCTAGCTACTCCTTTCTAAGGCTTCGATGGGGTGTGTTTCAGGGCTCAACACAACTGGAACCGTGAGTGAGCTGCGGGGTGCTCTGCGCAGGAGCCTAGGACCTGTGGAGGGGGAAGGGGCAGGTGTGTCGGAGGGTAAGAGGGTTAGGAGTATGGAGGAAGTAGTGGAGCACTGAGGGTGAGAGAAGTAGTTGGGAGAGGAGGCCCCGGTGAGGAGGAGACAGGAAGCTAGGGAGGGTGGATGGGACAGAGCCAGGATGAGAAGGTGGGAAGCCCCAGGAAGGGGAGAGACGGTGGAAAGTACTGCAAAGAGTAGGAGTTAGGGAGCCAAATAGCTACCATGCCTCTTCCCGGTTGTGTGACCTTCAGATCGCAGCTTCCCTAGGGTGCTTCATTTGTAAAATAGGGATAATAATTGTCCTTAACTCAGAGGCTTATGATAATCAATCACTAAATAATACATAATCAATAGTGATAAGCACCAGATGGAGATCCTGGCATAGGGAGTTATTTCCAAAACTTGTTCACGCTCTTCTCCCTCCATCTAGGATGTTCTCATTTTCCTCATTCGGATTTCCCTAAACTATAAATGGGGTCACCGCAGGACACGGGGTGAGGGCTCTGGATCACCCCCACATCTTGCACCTGTCCTACTGTGCACTCGGTGTTGGAGAATGCTATGAAAACGGCAGTGGCTGGCTCCAGATGCTCTTAATGTTTCCTAGCCTGTGGCTTGTCGGGTTCTTCTGTTCATTCCCCCTCTGCCTGCCCCATCTCCCGAATCTATTCCTCTTTGTTCTCGTGATAGAAACTCTTTGGATGCACTGATTGCGGAGAAACAGTCCACCAGAGCTTAAACCCCAGAGGTTTCACACTGGAGGTGACCCATTTCCATCCACCTCCACACACCATGGTCACACCTCTCCTTGACAATTTTAACAGCAGCCTGACCAGTCTTCCTTTCCCCCTTAGACTCCCCTCCCCACTTCCCTACAGTTTACCCCACACCGTCTGTCAGAGTGAGCAAAACCTCCCTCAGGAACCTTTAGGGGCTTCCCACTGCCCACGGAATTGACTGCCAACACCTTACTCTGCATTCTTGCATCTTCTGTCTGGAATGGTAATTATTGACTTGTTCTGTGGTCCCCCACAAGACAGTACACTACTCCACACCAAAATTCAACAGTTCATCATTCAACAAATATTTATTAAGCACTTCTTTTGTGCCAGGAGCTGTTCTAGATGCTGAAGATACATCAGAGAATCAAGCAAACAAAAATCCCTGCCCCCAGAGACCTTACGTTCTACCTGGGGGCAAGGGGGGGAGAAACAGACAGAAAACTATAAAAATTATAAAAATAAATAATTATATAGTATGTGAGAAGATACTTGCTCTGTGAGTTTTGGAACTCATTCACATATCAGAATATAAAAATACTCAAGCAATTTTTTTAAAAACTGTCTTCAATTCAGTTTAGTTTGGATAGGGCAAAGTTCTGAGACTTTGGACTACCACCACATTTTATGCTCCCAGGACATGGGTCTTGAACCCTAAGGACGAGGGAAGATGGAGCAGGTGCTAACCATTGGGCCTCTTCAAGAGCTACAGGAGGGCCTAGCCCAGGGCTCAATCTTCCCAACAGATGGTGGAAGGTTCTACTTGAAAGTGATCAAGGAGGAATCTGGGTCAGTTCTCTGCTTTGGCCACCAGGGGTCATTTTACCCCTGTAAATCACCATCTGGAGCAATCCCTTGAAGACACACAAAAGGCTTACTCCAAACTAAAACACACAGACACACACAGGAAAACCCTCACACACACACACACACACACACACACACACACACACATGCCATTGAGAGACCTAGCGACAGAAATGCATACAGGACACACGCATGGCAGCAACTTCCTCACTTATGCAGTCTCAACTCCGCAACCCCTCCCAGCCCTACTCCAGTAAAGAGGGAAGAAGGAAACAGTAGGTGGTCCATTCACCAGTCTTCCATTTCCTTGCCCCCGGCTTGCTAAGAACAGACACCTTATTCCTGTCCTCCCTTGCACTTTTATGTCCCTGGAAACTTCTTTCCTGGCTGTGGCAACAGTTCCCTTTTCCTTTCCCGGGGAAAGAGAAGCCCCACCCCTCCTCCGAGTGTTTGTGTGACTAGTTCACCCCCACCTCAGAGCTGCCCCACCAGCACCAGGAAGCCAAAGTAATGTTGCACTGGGTGTGCAACTCCAATCTACCCCTGCAAACCCTCAAGCCTTTGTGACTAGAATTAGCAATTGATTTGTGGAGCATTGTCCTGTCCCCGCAGTAATAAAAAACAATGTATACATATGCCCTGGGAAGAAGTTACACATGAACTCTAATACTGACTCTTAGATGTCCACAAGGTCAAAGTTATTTTTGGAATATTACTCCCATCAATGTTGTTTGTCCTTTGCAATACTCCACGGTATACCATGGAGTTTTCAAGAGGCTTCATGAAGTGTGATGACATTATTGCTCTCAAAGCTAATGGAATGTGTGCTTGTGTGTTACATTGTTAGTACTTAACGAGTTTTAATTTCTAATACGGTTAAATATCAAAAGGTAAGGTATAAGCAAAGGCTTTTTGGAATCCTCGATTGTTAAGAGTTGTAAAAGGGTCTGAGAGCAAAGTTGGGGAGAACTGTTAATTTCGTACAAAAAATTTTCTCCCTAATTCTAGATGAAGGGCCAGAGGCAGAGAGAGAGAATTTAGGACCTAGAATGGAGGAGGTCTGGAAAGTGGGGTGGGGTGGAAGGAGAAAGGACACCTAGAAAGGCCTACAGAGACCAGCATCTGTGGGGGAAAACACCCTCTAACTCACAGTTTTGTCCTGCCCCCAACCACCTCATGCTGCAGTGTCAGGTCTAAATTGTTACAAGTTACTAACCAAGAATGAAACAGATTCTGTCAGTGTCTCATGCCTCCACGCTGGGCAGGGCAAGGCCAAGTGGAAATGAGAGTGGGTAGCATAGGAGGCACTGAGACTGCTGTGGTTGGTCTAAATCCAGGACACTCATTTTCTGCTCCATCTACCAGCCCTCCATAGTGTTTCATGCCCAAACACCAAGGGCATGTCATCCAGTCGTCTGCCGATGCACTGAGGAAGCTCACAGCGTCACTCACTCTGGACTGGGCGAGGGATCCGCCCCACGCTCACCATCACCACCAAAGCAAAGAAGGCATTTCCACCAGCACTCTTCTTCCTTCCCTGTGCCCCAGGCTCGCCACACTTTGTTCTCTTGTGCCTTTACGGGCAGGAGTTGCCGCCCAGAAGTCCAAGTGCCCGATCCACTTCCCTCATGTACAACATCCTGCGAGTGTGCGCGTGTGAGCGGCTCGGGGGCCTGGGAGGTGGGGGTGACTACGAAACCGTACGCAGTGCATTCAGAGGACCGAGTCCTCGAGGCGCTGGGTCAAGGGCGTCCCGAAGCTGGAAGGCCGGAGCAGCTTCTGGTTGGCGGTAGCCGGACCGGTGATGAGGGTGGCCTCGGTGGACCGTTCGGCGTGCGCTCCCTGAGCCCCGTTGGTGGCCAAGGTCCTGGCGCGGAGCGGAGTGCCCAGGCCGCGCAGGGTGTTGCGGAAACCCTCGGCGCTGAAGTAGTACACGAGCGGGTCCAGCACGCAGTTGGAGCCGGCCAACAGCACCATGACCATGAGCGCCTGGCGCACCCGGTCGCGCACCTCGCTGCGGGCCGCCACCACGTTGCCCCGCAGCAGCCCGTAGACCGCCAGCGTGGCGTTGTAGGGCACGAAGCACAGCAGGAAGATGACGAGGTTGGCCAGCAGGAGGCGCACGGTCTTCTGCCCCCGCCGGCTCCGCGTGCTGTCTGGCCGCGCCAGGGTCCAGAAGACCCGGCCCGACGAGTAGAGCATGGCCGCCAGGGGCAGCAAGAAGCCCAGCGCCTCGGCCAGCAGCAGGAGCCACAGTAGCCTGTTCTGCCACATGTCGCCGAAGCTCTCGAAGCACAGGTGCACCTGGCTGCCGTTGTAGCTGCAGGGCGAGGGCCGGTGCACCAGGCCGGCGGGCACGGCGAACACGGCAATGAGCGCCCACACGCCCAGGCACAGCAGCCGCGCCACGCGGGGCCGCCGCAGGTGCCGCAGCCGCAGCGGGTGCACGATGGCCACGTAGCGGTCCACGTTGATGAGAGTCAAGAAGATGCAGCTGCCGTACATGTTCGTCTGGAAGATGGCACCCGCCGTCTGGCACAGGAGGGCAGAGAAGGGCCAGTAGTGCAGGGCGTAGTAGGAGATGCGCAGGGGCAGCGAGAGGGTGAAGAGCAGGTCGCTGGCCGCCAGGTTGCACATGTACACGCTCACCACGGAGTGCATGCGCAGCACGCGCAGGAAGACCCAGAGGGCCAGCGCGTTGAGGGGAAGCCCTGCGGCCAGGACCAGGCTGTAGACCACCATGTGCAGGTAGTGGGTGTTCCGGTAGTCAGGGCACTGGGAAGCGAGGCTGGAGTTGTTGGCAGAGTTGTGCTGCATGGTACCACAGTGTGAGAGGAGCTAGGCTGGGGACATCATTGGGCACGCTAGGGTCCTGGCCTCGTGTTCATCCCGAGAGTGGGGCCTGGAGGCTGTGCAGGGACCGTCCTGGGGCAGACAGGACATGGGAATGTGGGCTATGGCTGCGGGGCAGATGGCTGTCGGGGGCTTGGACACTTTGGGTCACCGCTTCGTCAGCAGTGGAGACCTGGAATAGGAAGGCAAGCCAAAGTCAAAATTATGCAAGGACAGCGTAGAAGTCCCAAATGTTTATCTTGCTAACCTGGCTGGCCTCTTGAGTCTTTTCTCAGCCTCGGATCTTTCCACAACTTTCCGTCAGGCCACAATAGCTTTCTGCAGTAAGGCTATGTAGCACAGTGTTAAAGGCCCAGGCTCTGGGGTCAGACTGCCTGGGTTTAAATCCTGGTTCTGCCAACTTGCCTATCTAGGTCCTCCAAAAATTGACTTAATCTCTCTGAACCTCATTTTCCTTACCTGGAGAAAAAAGTGGTGGTGGTGGGCGTCTCCCACTTCATGAGGTTATTAGATTAAATGAGATATGTGTTAAGTACACAGGTTCTACTAATAATCTCTCTCCCCCTCTTCCTTTCTCCTACAGATGTTTACTGAGCTTTAGAAGGTTCCAGGCATGTTCACAGCCCTCAACAAAACAAAGGCCTTGCCCCCAGCTCCTTTAATTCCACCGAAGGGAGACAGATAATAAAGTGCAAGTAAAGAGGTCCTATGTCAGATAGTAAGAAATATGATGGAGCACCACCCCTGGAACTCCCCAGGTCTGCTGGCTTCCCGTTATCTAAAGAATAAAGTTCAAATTCCCCAGGACAGTACAAAATCCAGGCCTCATTCATCACATCCATGATTGCTCTTGTGTGGGCTGGATTTGTGGTCAGAACAACCTGGGTTTGACTGGATTGTTTGACTGCTCTCTTAGTTTCTTCGTCTGTAAAGTGGGGACAATAACATTATGGGCTCTCATGGGCTGATCACACACCGGCACACTCCTGCCAAGGAGGGGAAGGTGGCTGTGGGCTGAACTTTTCCAGGTGCTTCCCTGGAGGATCTGACTAGGGAGCTTCCCGGATGGGATTCTGTGATGGAGGGAGAAGGGATTTTTTTAGTGAGGGCTCAGAGGGGACCCTAAGTCCAGAGAGTGTGGCAATGAGGCAAGGAGTTACCAAGGGCCCTGCCAAGGCCACTGGAGAGAGCAGCCCACGGCAGCCACAATGCTCAGGCAAACGCTGGCAGATGAAAGATATGGCCAGGAGGTAGACGAGCCAGAGGACAGGACACGGTCTCAGAATCCCACCCTTCTTAATGCCCTAATGCCACAGAAGCTACTCTTCCATCTTAACCCCTAAATTCCATCTTTTGTGTGTGTGTGGGGGGGAATGGGTAAAATATACACAACTTAAAATTTACTATTTTGACCATCTTTAAGTATATAATTCAGTGACGTTAAGTACACTCACAATGTTGTGTGACCATCACTACTATTTCCAGAACTTTTTCATCATCCCAAACAACTCTATACACGCTAAATACTAACTGCCCATTCCCTCCCCGCACTCCCTCCAGCTCCTGGAAAACTCTATTCTACTTTTTGTCTCCAGGAATTTGCCCATTCTATTTGAATTAGTGTTTTCATTTTCTTTGGGTAAATACCCAGTAGTGCAATTACTGGATCATATGGTAATTTTATTTTTAATTACTTGAGGAAACTCCATACTGTTTTCCACAGTGGCAGCACCAATTTACATTCCCACCAATGGTCCACAAGGGGTCCCTTTTCTCCATGTTCTCACCAGTCCTTGATATTTGTCTTTTCTTTTAGAGGGGGAGAGGGGCAAAGTGAGAGGAAGAGAGAGAACCTTAAGCAAACTCCACGCCCAGCGTGAATCCCAACATGGGGCTCTATACCACAACCCTGAGATCATGACCTGAGCTGAAATCAAGAGTCAGAGACTCAACAGACTGAGCCACCCAGGTGCCCCTCTCATCCTGGTTTTGATTTGCATTTCCCTGTTGAGCATCTTTCTCTGCTGGCTATCTGTAGGTCTTCTTTGGAGAAATGTCTATTCAGGTCCTCTGCCCATTTTTTAAATTAGATTACTTGTATTCTTTTGGTGTTGAGCTGTGTAAGTTGAATTTGCCTATCCCAGACACCTCATCTGAGTGGAACCATACATCTGTCCTTTAGTGTCTGGCTTCTTTCACTTAACATAAAATTGTCACCGTCCATGTTTTAGTATGTATCAGAATTGTAATCTTTTTTTAATAGCTGAATTTTATATATATACATATATATATAAAATATTTTATTTGACAGAAAGAGAGACGAGAGAGAATATACAAGCAGGGGGAGTGAGAGAGGGAGAAGCAGGTGAACAGGAAGCCTGATGTGGGGCTCGATCCCAGGATCCTGGGATCACGACCTGAGCTGAAGGCAGACGCTTAACAACTGAGCCACCCAGGCGCCCCTGAATAATGTATTTATATATATATATATATTTTTGTTTGTTTATCTATTCAACTGTCAATGGTTACTTGGGTTTTTCCACCTTTTGCCTATTGTGAATAATGCTATGAATGTGACGTCTACATGCCATCTGAGGGAACAAAGTTGTCCAGAGACCCTGAGCAATTATCACAAGATACTGGATTTATTCCTCTTGAAAGGAATTTTTAAAAAAGATTTTTGGTTTTTAAAATTACTTTATTTACGTGAGAGAGAGAGCACGTGTGCGCGAGCATGAGTGGGGAGCAGGGCGAGGGAGAGGATCCCCAGCAGACTCCCACTGAGCACAGAGCTGGAAGTGGAGCTCATCGCAGGGCTTGATTCCAGGACCTGCGATATCATGACCTGAGCCAAAATCATGAGCCAGAACCAGATGCTTAACCGACTGAGCCACCCAGGGACCCCTTAAGATTTTATTTTTAAGTGGTAGCTACACTGAACATGGAGCTTGAACTCATATAACTCCGAGATCCAGAGTTGCACGCCTCACCGACAGCCCACCAGGTGCCCAGGAACTGCTTAAATTCTTACCAAGCTGTAAACCTGACTCTAAAGTCTTCCTGTGGGTTTTTTTGTTGTTGTTGTCATTCATTTGTTCTCCCTCAAACCATGACTACCAGCAGTTTAAGCCTTGTAAGAGGTTTAGGAGAACAGTTAGAGGAAATAAACATTTCCTCTGCAAAATACCAATTTCACCAATGAAAATCATCCTAAATGGGGCTGAAACCCGCTGAAAAGCGAATAAAACCAGACTCTTTCCCTGACACATGCCCCACCTCCCATGCTTCTTTGCTCCAGCAGTGCCACACTAACAACAGTTTTGCACAGGTCTTAATGTTTTCAGGACTCTGCTCTTGCACGTGCAGTGCAGGCTCTTTTTTTTTTTTTCTTAAGATTTTATTGATTTGACAGAGATACAGAGAACACAAGTAGGCACAGTGGCATGCAGAGGGAGAGGAGGGAACAGCTTCCCCACTGAGCAGGGAGTCCTATGAGGGACTCGATCCCAGGACCCTGGGATCATGACCTGAGCCGAAGGCAGCCGCTTAACTGACTGAGCCACCCAGATGCCCCAGTGCGGGCTCTTCCGCTTGGAATGCCCTGCCTCCCCCTCTCCAACCGGCAAAGTCAATCATTTCTTAGGACTCTGTAAAGCCTCACCTGCCTCCCTCCCTCCCTCCTGGCAAGGCAGATGTCATTCCCCTTTGTACACTGTTCACCAGGGGTGTCCCACCTGTCTTGTAATTAGCTGTGCTTCTCCTGCCCCTCCCCTTAGACTGTGAGCTCCTCGAGGGAGGGTCTATGGATCATGACTGAGTCATCTTGGTCTCCCCAGCCACTATGTCCATAAATGTTGAGGGAAAAATATTAGTGATGATTTACTGGCCATTCATCCCGTCCCAGGCTATTTTTACATGTGTGGTCTTCAGGCCTTTGAGATAGGTTTTTAGCCTCATTTTTACAGGAAACAGAAGCTCTAGAGTTCCATCAGCATTCACACTCAGGATTCACACCCAGCTCCCAGCTGACCCAGGGCTGTTTGCAGCAAGAGTGGATGGTGGGATATGAGGGTGCATGCGGCCCAGAGCACCTGGTCCCTTACAGCTGCCCGTGAGAAATCTCGACCCACAGATAAAGTTACGTCTTTATTTACCCAGTTGAAATAGACACTTTTTAACAGCCCCCCGTTTCTCGTTGGTAACACAGACTCCTCTTGCTGTCACACACACACACACACACACACACACACACACACACACACAGGAGTGCCCCTCCTTACCATGTCTTCTTACCTACTTAAGCACATTAGTGGTTCACAGCTTTGAACTTCTCAGATTGTTTCCTGGGTGTTTATTTGCTTCCATGATCCCCAGCTAGATGGTAAGGTCGTGGGTTGGGACCCCCTCATCCATGGCTTTCCTCTCAAGCTCACACTTGGGACTCACACTTCAGTCTCTGTGCTTAGCAGGCCCATATGACATTCACTGACTACCTGGAAGGAAATCTGTCCCTCCCTGTCATGTTCACACACCCTGTAATCTTGCTATAATGTCTCTTGTGTCGGTCCCCCAGCCGCTTCTTATCTCACTCCTATATTTCCCAAGTGTATAACTCACCTAGTAGAAGACTCCACCTCCTAAAAGGCCTGTTTGGAAACAGCCTGCATTATATTTTTAAAAACAGTTTACACTGTCACTACAGTCACACTTGATCATTCTTAACCATTACCTGGAGAATCAATAGCTTCTTGCACACACTAGACAATGAATGAGTGAATGAATAATTGTTTACCAAGAATCCCAAGTATTTCTGACAACAAAGTTACAATGTTCAAGAGACCGAAAAGTATTAGATGAGCTGCTAGTTAAAGGGAAAGGCCTTTTGTAAAGCAGATGGAGATGCTTTCGTTACTGGACTCCAAAGTGGAGAAGTCCTTTTTGTGGAAAATCATTGCTTTCTGATAGATACACAAGGGCCTGAGCCGGGCATCGAGGACTGCCAGGACCCTGCCCTGGTCCCCACCCCATCTGCCTGCTTCCCTGGGGCTCCTGTCAGTGGAGCTGTGTGGGCACGGTGCCAGGCCAGATGGCAAAGATGGGGAAAACTGCGAAAAAGGAGGCAAACAGGAAGTGGGAGGAGGGCTCTAGCTGGGGGGGCGGGAAGGTGGGCAGCCCAGGATCTCACCCCAATCCTGCCTTGAGAAAGAGGTCAGGTTGTAGAAGAGATGGAGGAACCAAAGAAACAGCAACTGTCCCAGAAAGGATCAAACACCGGGGCTTTGTGTCCCCAGCGAGGAGGGAGGACCTGGAGGCCCACATCATCTTATAACCTCCAGGCGCACAGATGTGGTTATGAGCACAGCGCCACATGCAGATGTGCGTGCGAAGACACGTAGACGTGCACACAAGATCCCCGGTATGTGCACTCACCTGCTAACACACAAGTAGGTGCATGCACAGAGGCGCGGACAACTAGGCCAGAGGAGGAAGAGCGGACACAGCCCTTGCCTTAGGGACAGTATTCTTACCCAGCGAGAAAGAGCGCATCAGGCAGCCTCAGGAGCCATCCCCACAACATATCCCCGCCCCAAAACACTGAGGGGCTGAGGAAACACCCTGGGGACTGCCCAGGGCACACCACCCGCCCTCCACACCACTCACACACCAGAGCCAGGACAGCCACCTTCCTCCTCCCCTGGTCTCTTTCAGGTCTCTTTCAGCTTCCTAGGTGCACATCAGAGGGCCAGGTTCCTGACTGCCTCAGGCCTCTTGAACCTGTCCCACTGCCCTCTGAGCTGGGCTGGGCGCTGCGCTTTGCTGAGATAAGCCAGAGGGGCAGAGCTATTTTCTGCCAGGCAGGAAGTGAGAATTGAGTAAAAATGTGCAGGAGGCTAGGTCACGGTCATCCCTCCCTCTCCTCCACACAACCTGCCTGTGCTATCCACCCTTCTGGCGGCTGACCAGCCATGGGGCTGAAGAGAAAGGAATAAGTGATTCCGGACAATGGTGGAGGCAGGGTGGGGAAAGAAATAACTCTTCTCTGTCCAGCTCCCTCCTGTCCACCACACTCTCCATGTGCACCCCCCCCACCCCCCCTGCACACCCGCCAAATGCCTTGCTCTGTCTCCTCCTTAGTCATTCACGCCCTCCAGGAGTTTGAAAAGAAGGAACCTCAGATCTCATCCTCCTTGCCCAGGAAGATGCATTCTAGAATAGCCCCAAACCTCATTTTATTTTTTTTTGTAAAGATTTTTATTTGACAGAGAGAGAGATCACAAGTAGGCGATAGGCAGACAGAGAGAGAAGGGGAAGCAGGCTCCCCACTAACCAGAGAGCCCAATGCAGGACTGGATCCCCGGACCCTGAGATCATGACCTGAGCAGAAGGCAGAGGCTCAACCCACTGAGCCACCCAGGTGCCCCCCAAACCTCATTTTAGATTCCAGAGGCCACAGCTGAGAGTCACAGTGAGCCAGCATGTCCCACCCCTGTGCCCTCTACCCACCCCCAACCCCCCCATTAGCTAAGCCCACCTCCGCAGCTGTGAGCTGGCAATACTGGCAGGATGTCCCCTTTACCTACAGACAGGCTTAATTCTAAATTATACTTTTTTTTTTTAAAAGATTTGTGAGAGCAAGAGCGTGAGTGCACAAGCATGAGCAGGGGGAGGGGCCGAAGGGAGGGAGAAGCAGGCTTCTCCATGTGGGGCTTGGTTCCAGGACCCTGAGATCATGACTTGAGCCAAAGGCAGACACTTAACTGACTGAGCCACCCAGGCGCCCCTAAATTATACGTCTGTTATATGTGTATGTTCAGACTCCCCAAACAGATCCAAACCAGGCTAAAGCCTCCAGCAGAAGCTTACCAAAGTTTGAAGGCTTTGTGAACAGCTCTGTCCTAGAGCTGTTCTGAGGACACAGATGAACCCCGCTCGTCTGAGGGGCCTGTGGTGTGGAGATAGTACAATGACACCACGGTGAGTGGATGGCCTCTTCCTTCCCCCGGGGATGGGGGGGGTGGCCACAGTCTTCCCAAGGAGAGAAGCCTCTGGCACAGGCCCCCCAGGGCTGTTGTGCTCTCTCTCCATGGCCCCTCTTCCTGTTCCAGGCCTGCTCTGCTGTCTCCAGCCAAAATTCCTGCTCCGGCCTCTCCCCACCTGGCCCCACCTCAGCCTGTCACTTCCTGCATCATCCAGTATCCTCCTTGGCCACGTCTTCTCCCTCTGGATATTCTGACCTCACCTCTCCCATTTTTTCTGGGCCAAAGCAGAAAGCAAATGTGGCCTACAGCTCCGGAGTCGGTATCCCATGTCTGTGGATGTCACCGCACCACCCGCACATCTCCCTCCACCCTGCTTTCAAGAGCTGGAAAAACAGGAAATAAAGTCACCATCCAGAGAAGTCGCTGGGACCGGATCAGCCCGCTGCCACAGCCCTGTGCCCTGAGTTGTCCCTGCGCATCTTACCCTTGCTCTGGGGCCTGGTTGGGTCCTGCCCCCACAACAGAAAGCCTGAGCTTTTGACCTCTTTGACCTTGCCCTGAACTTGGGCGGCACTTTTCCCGAGCTTCTGGCTTCGCCCTCCACCTTTCCCCTGCCTCCTTCCCCTTCCCATGGCACCAACCCCCCCAACACACACACAAGGTGTCTATTTTGCTGAGGTGTACTCTGCAGGGAGCAAACTGGGGAGGACCAACATCATCAGGCAGAGACATGAGGATCTGGGCTCTAGAGTCTCTGAGTGGCCAGGAGGGGAGGCTCACAAGTGCAGGCAAGTTCCTATTTTTCCCTCAGTCCTTGCCTCCATCTCCCCCTGGGGCTGCAACTTTCTCACTCTAAAAGGAGCCGGAGATACAACCTGGTGGGAGTGATCCTTCTTGTCATGGGGGGTCTCCCCTAAATAGAGGTAACAGGTAAGCAGCTGCCCTTAGTAGTGGGATCCAAAGTTATTACAAGGCCTTGCCGACTGTCACCTGTGCCCAGTATCTGAAACTCCATCCCCTTCGTGCCACTCATGAGCCGCATTCTATCAGAGTCATAGGGACATTAGAGAGCATCTTGTCTAATCTCGTACAGAAGATGGATGCACTGGGTTGTTGGTTTGTTTCTCAAAAATCCCATTAAGATACACCTTGGTTGGGGCGCCTGGGTGGCTCAGTGACCTCTGCCTTCGGCTCAGGTCATGATCCCAGGGTCCTGGGATCAAGCCCTGCATTGGGCTCTCTGCTCATCAGGGAGCCTGCTTCCCTTCCTCTCTCTGCCTGCCTCTCTAGTTGTGATCTCTGTTTGTCACATAAATAAAAATCTTTTTTAAAAAAGAGTTTCTTTAAGATATACCTTGGTTAGCTGGGAAGGATAGCTACAAGAACACATCTGTGCCAGCAATACCATTAGTGGAGTTTAATCAGATGAGTTCATTGTCATCTAGCAGAGGGCTTGGCCTGGGGGGAGGGGGGAAAGGGTCTGGGAGAGTGGAACAGGGCTAGACACCACCCCCAGAGAACCCTCCTCAGTGGCTGTGGGAAGCCCAGGGTTCAGCATAACAGTGGGGGCCTCGGGGGGGAGGGGAAGACACATCTCCCCAAGATTCTCCAGTGTGGGGGCCTCGGGCTTCAGAGGGGCACTCCTCAATGTGCCTAGTGTGGTGGCTGCCTCCCCAGGCTCGCTCTGGAAAAGACTGCAGGAGGCAGCCCCATTTAGCTTTTCACTCTATTCAGAAAGATTTTCCAGGTCCCACGGCCCTCCTCATCTCCAGCCCCACCCATGAACCCCACTCTAAAGGAGGGACTTGTTCCCCCTGCAAAGTTCAACCCCACCGGTGACAGCCCCATACCTGTGTTCCCTGTGGCTTCCGCTGCCTGCTCTGGGCTGGGCTGGCAGGACCTGCTCCTGAGGTGGGTGGGGACACATTCTCCTGGCAGATCTCAGCGTGTCCCAGCTCCCTGCACTCAGTCAACCCCACACAGGGCAGGGAGAGAGAGAGGAAGCAGTGCCCTCCATGGCCTTTGCAGCCCGTCAGCAAAGAAACCCCGGCAGAGAGTGGCACTTAGTCCAGCCCCAACTCTTGCCTACTAATGGCCCCCCCCACCGCCCATTGCTCACACACTCCCTAGCTTCCGGGAAGCCCAACTGGCACACCCACCCACGGGGATGAATGACTAACCACCCACTCTGAGCTGTGCTTACACCAGTTCCCCCTGGTGCCTCTTTCTTTTTTGGGTTCCAGCAGGTGGTTTCGCTCTTGCCATTCATGGTCACCCAGGACTATTCCCCCCTGCTTCTGTCTGGCTCCCCTAAGGAGCTCCTTCTTCTGGGGAACGGGGGACTCGGATGGCAGCCCCTTGTTCTGCACCCTCTGGCTGAGCCCCTGACCTTCTGTATCAACAAGGCTAGGCATGTTGGCCATGCCCAGTACACAAAAACAACTTAAAAGGCTTTGACTGTAGGTGAAAAAGGATATTGTGGTCAAGTCAGTCTGAGAAACTCTAACCTGAACAGGTTTCTCTATGACAGGGTTTCTCATGGTCTTTACCATGCCATGAGAAGACTGATTAGGTGTTCATAACTGAAGCTGGGTGAAGGGTTCATGGGGTGTGTTATTCTATTTTTGTGCATATTTGAGCTTTTCCATAAAAAAATAAGTGCTTTTTTTTTTTTTAATGGTGTTAAACACCATGCACCTGTAGGAGAAGAGACTGTAGAGTTTCCCAAACACATATATCCTTGAACACATTTTGGGAGGTCCCAAGTTCTTAAAGGTCAATGCTGGAGTCACACCTTAATGTATGTTGTCACCTCAACGTTCAGATCATCTGGCCCATCACTGGATGTCAAATCAAGGGTTTTCTGAGCTCCAGGTCCCAGCTCTCTCCTCCCTCCTCATGAAGGGCAAGTTCCGCCTTACTTCCCTGGGCTTATTCCCCGCACCCCTGGAACAGGACCTCAGGCAGGCTCTGGCCTTTACCCTCTAGAAGGACCATCTTATACTCCTCTGAGGTCACGGGCTTCAGAAATAAAGACATGTGCCCTCATGGCCCACACAATCCCTAAGACCCGGGCCATGGCCTTCTTCAGTCTAACTTCCTGATTCCTTAGGTCTTCTCCTGGCTCCTTCCCTGAGCACCATCCCTGAGGCCCTTTCATCTTCAGAAGGAACCATAAATCTCAGGGGTTGGTGTTGGTTCCCATGGGGCAGGACCACAGTGCTGAGGATGGGATCAGAACCAAAGTAGGCCACACAGGTTGAAAATAAACACTTTATGTAGAGACATCCTTTAAGGCGGGTGGAGTTCCCATCATGGGCCTCTCTGGGACTGCTGCCCCAACCCAAGGAAAATGTGAGTAAGAGACCAGGTAAGAGACCCATAAGGGGCAGCCAGGAAGCAAACTGACAGATGGGGTCTAAAAGCAACGGAATGTGGAAAGGTCGGGCTGGGGTGGAGATAGGACGGACCCCAGCTCATCCGGCTTGGCCTAGAGTCAAGGTGCTAAATTCCTGGCTCCATCGCAGCACAAGGTCCTCACTTTTGGCCTGGCTCAACACACTGTAAGTCTCGTTCTGCAGACATCTCATACGGGACACCTACCCGGGGATCAGGGACACACAGTCTGTGTCACAGAGCCCAGGAGGGAGAGGTGCCGAGGTGGGGAAGTGGCATTGGTCCCACAAGAACCAGAGGCAAGTGGGGATGGGCACAGGGCAGTGGAAGCAGAGAGGAAACAGATGTGGGTTTTTAAGGCTGCAAGAGACACCGAGTAGCCCAGCCTCTCCTTTAAGAAGCTTGGAGGCTAAGGATGGAAGAAGAAGTAACTTATTCCAGACTCTTGGTGAGTAAGAGCCAGAGGCAAGCCAGAGACCTCAATATACAATGCCCAACCCAGCTAGGGATTCTCCCTGAGGTGCCCTCTCCTTTTATTTGCAGCATCCCTCCCGGACTCCCCCCACCCACCATACTGCCACCTCTGCCTGGGAGGGCTTCACTTACTCCAAGACAGGAGGGAGTGGGAGACAGGGCTCTGGTGGAGGCCTCAGCCCAGGGATGCAAGCTAGGAACTATTCTCCTGCTGCTCAGAGCAGAGTGGGGTGTGTGTGTGTGTGTATGTGTTTTCATGCGCTTGCATGCTCAGAATAGACACCCCTGTGGTGGCCAGTGGAGGGGCTGAGGGGAGGAGGGGGCAGGGTGAGGGACTCACCTTCCGGTCACGGCTTCTCATCAGGCACTGTTGGCTTTTGAAGGCACAGTAGTTTGGATATTGTACATAGTCTGTGTCACAAATCTAAGCCAGGAGCCAGGAATGGAGAGGTGGGGAGACATCAGAAGCCTGCTAACACACCAGTCCTAGACAGAGCCCATAAGGGCTGAACCAGGGCCAGGGGTAGAGCCTTTGAGAACCAGACCTTCCACACCTGGGGTGCCCCTCTCTGAGGACTAGGTCTCTGTCCCCCTTGCATTTCCTGCCCCACCCTCAAGTCACACTTTGGTGCTGAAAAGAAGCCAGGAGCTGGAGAATTAAGTGGCTGCCCTGCTCGTCAGCTTGCTGGGGAAGCAGCTGAGGACCAGGGCATGGGGAACAGGGCCCCATCAGGGGTCCAATCTCAGGGATCCTTCTAGTGATGGCCAAGTGAGGGAGAGGGCAGAAGAACCTCTCATGTGTGAACTTGGGTGAATCACTTCCCTCTGTGGACCTCACCTTCCCATCTGTAAATCCAGGGGAGGAGGGATGATCTCTGAGACCCTTTCTAGATCCAGAGGCTCCTCCAGGACCTCTCCTCAGCCACAGGGATAAGGGCTGTGCAGGGGCTCCTCATCTCAGCTACCAACCCTTTCTTAAGCTGCCCAGCTTTTCCTGGCCTTGATTTTTCCTGCTAAACCACAGGAGAGGAGGACCTGGCTGTCAGTCAGCAGTCCCCCGGAGCTAAAGGGGAGGACACTGTGGGGAGAAGGGGAGCAAAGTTGATTCTACTGAGCAGGGAAAGTGCTGGAACCTAGGTCAAGGAGCCTGTCATACTGGAGCAGGGCAGCACGGGGTCACAGGTCCTTGACATCTCAGGCATCCCCTCGTCATTGGTTGTAGAGGTGAGTCTCACTTTGGGCCAGTGTGGAAAGTGGCTTGACCAAAGGCCCTCAGCGGGGACCCTGCAAAGCTGGGATCAGAAGTTCTGTCTCCTGCCTCCCCGTCCCGTGCCCTCCCACCCCTCTGATTCCTACTCCTTTCACAAACACAAACCTGCTTTTTTTTTTCTTTTCTTTTTGAGATGAGGAAAGGGGGATGGAAGGGTGTCTACTGGAAAGAGGCAGGAGGCTCAGTGAGGACTGGTTTCCCAGAAGCCAGAGGCCTAGCCCCCCCTTGCCCATCTTAGGGCTACTTGGAGCAAACCACTGGGAGGAATGGGGACAGTTGGGTAGGGTTGAGCTTCGGGGAAAGGCGCTGACCTTGGTGGGGAAATCCCCATCCTGGAAGCTAAGGAACTCAGTCTGGAGCCAGCCGGACACTCGGATATCTTCACAGCCCTTGGTGGCCAGCCGGGCGCACCAGAAGTCCATGCGGAGCCCGCCATACATATCCAGCCCATAGAAGCGGCCTGATGTTGGGGTCCCTACCTGTGGCACAGGGGACAGGGGAGAGGTGCATGCCCCCAGCTCCCCTGCAGACCTCCCTTCCTGCTGCCCAGTCCTGCCTGCAGCCCGAGGCCTCCCCCTCTGTGGGCTGTCCGGCTAGGTACCTGGGTACCGATGGACATGCTCTGGGCTATGAGCAAAGGGCTGATGAAGGGTGTTTTGTGCGAGCTGTCACACAGCTGTCGCTGCAGGACCGCCTCCGAGTGGCACTGTTCCAGCTTCAGGGAGCAGAAGTCACAGAGGGCACAGGTGGCTGTGTGTCGCCGCCCAAGGCTGTCACAGACCTGGGGCAGGAGTGTGGTTGACAGACTGAGGCTGAGACACTTTCAGCCCTGCGGAGCTGTCCCCGCAGAATGGCTTCGCATGAAGGCTCTTCAGAAGGCTTCCCTGGCTTTCCTCCCTGCTCCCTCCCCAAAGGCTCCTCTAGGACCTCTCCTCAGCGCTCTAACTCTTCACCCTCTTCCTGGATGATGTGTTTACTCCCAAAGAACCTTCACCTTTCTGCAGGCAACACCCAAATCTTTATCATCTGTTCCTACTTCTTGCCCGAGCTCCAAATCCTCATTGCCAAGTACCTGACAGATGTCTACCACCAGGTGACCTATAATTAATCCTTATATTTTTTTAAGATTTTATTTATTTGAGGGGCACCTGGGTGGCTCAGTTGTTATGTGCCTGCCTTCGGCTCAGGTCATGATCTCAGGGTCCTGGGATCGAGTCCCATGTTAGGCTCCCTGCTCAGCAGGAAGCCTGCTTCTCTCTCTCCCATTCCCGCTGCCTGTGTTCCCTCTCTCACTGTGTCTCTCTCTGTCAAATAAATAAATAAAATCTAAAAACAATTTATTTATTTGAGAGAGAGAGTGGATGAGTGCGGAAGTGGGGAGGGGCAGAGGCAGAGGGAGACGCAGACTCCTCGCTGAACAGGGAGCCTGACAGGGGGCTCGATCCCAGGACCCTGAGATCATGACCTGAGCCAAAGACAGACACTTAACCAAGTGAGCCACCCAGGTGCCCCCAATTTTTTAAAAAAGATTTACAATTACGCCTAACTTAGGTTCTGAAAAGGACTCATGACCTTCTCTTTCTCTCCTTCTCTCTGCTAATGATAATGCTAATATCTAGAGTCCACACAGTGCTAGGCACCACGACCATAAATGCTCTCGCCTCTGTTAGCCTTCATCAGAGCCCTGTACTAGCCTAGGTACAAGAAACATCTCCCACTGCCTGAGGAAGAAACGGGCTCGGCTGACACCAGGTAACCTGCTCAGAACCACACGTCTAATAGGTGGCAGAACTCTGTCCCAGCCGACTCCCAGACCTACCCTCTACCCAAGAACCTAGGTCCTAAACCTCCCAGTTCTTGGAAGACATTCTTCGGAGCGAAGTTACCCATCTCCTAGCGGGGTCTGCGCCCTTACTGGGCTTCCTCCCCATTCTTGGGCAGGGCTTGCTAACCATCACCTCCCATCAGTGCTGTCCGCTCCCCCGTCACGCATGGGTACCCACGTCACAGCACCCACGTCACAGCGCACAGAATCTCTCATGTCACCTTGCTTACTCATACCAGCACATAAGGGAGCATCATCATGTCCCTGATTCAAAATCATTACCAAGTTAGCTTTTCATACCAAGTTTGATACAAATGCCCCAGACTGCTGTTTGAGATTTTTCCCCTTAGGACCCTTCCTATCTCTCGGACTCTTATCTCCTGCCACTCTGCTCCAGGTAAAAATGGGTTCCTGACTGGTCCTGTAACGAAACCCTGATATCTAGGGAACCCTCTGTGACTCTTGAACTTCCTACACTCAAAAAAAAAAAAAAAAAGTCTCAGGGCCACCTGGGTAGCTCAGTCGTTCAGTGTCTGCCTTCAGCTCAGGTCATGATCCCAGGGTTCCGGGATCAAGCCCCACATGAGGCTCTCTGCTGAGCAGGGAGCCTGCTTCTCCCTCTCCCACTCTTCCTGCTGGTGTTCACTCTCTCTCACTGTGTGTCTCTCTGTCAAATAAATAAATAAAATCTTTAAAAATAAAAAAATAAAAAAATAAAAAATAAAAAAGTAAAACATAATTTTAAAAAAGTCTCTTTCCAACACTACTGCATACTTCTTTTATAATGCTACGGAATCCCTCATGATTCTTGGACCCCTTAAGGGTGGGAGCAGTATGCCCGTTCTTGGTGCCCTACTACTCCCTCTGGCAGGAACCTCTACCGAAGCCCCTTCTCTTGCCTGTCAAACATCTTTCATTTTCAGGTCTCTGTTTTAAACATCAGTTCTCTAAGAATTCTCTACTCCTCCCAAACATGGACCGTGGGGAACCCCATCTGCTGCTTCCGGACTGTGCACTAATCCATGGCTGCCTTTATCCATCACACTATTCTTCCCGTTTCCTCATCTGCCTCTCTCACTAAAGATGACTGGATCTATTTTACTCATCACAGACATCTCAAGTACCTAGTACAGAGTTGGTATGCTGTACTAAAAAATCAATTATCTAACTTGCTCATTGGCCATCCTCTGGGCTTGACACTATGCAATACTGAACAAACGATTGAAGTTAGCAAAGACAAGTTTGCTAACTTGTCTTATTTGAAAACCTACAGAATACCTTCCTGGGAATAGGACCCGCTGGGTGCTGAGGGCACACCGAGCCTGGGATCCCTCTACCGATCCTTGGAATGGGATCTATGACCCCTCTGGAAAGGAGAGCTGCATCCAAGGCGAAGCCAAGTATTGAAGATGGGTGACCTAGCTCAGGAGGGAATTCAAGCCTAACAGATCAGAGAGATGAAGAATGAACTCTGGACAGGTATGGATTCCAGACTAGGTCTTGGGCCTTCATCTTTGAAGGTGAGCTGGAGATGTCCTCCCAAAGAAGGAATTCTCATGCAGAGACTCTCTCCAATGATGCTTTATGCTTTCTGCATCCCTGCCTCTCCCCCACACTCTCAAGGCCCAGCATAGTGCCGGGCCCAGAGGATGGCCAATGAGCATGTACCCATTAAGCAGCATTGCAGACATACCGGCTTCCCGAAACCAAGGATCTCCTCCTCTATGTACTGCCAGGCCCTAGCTGTGGGGGTTATGGTACAGGTGTTCTCCACAATCGAGTAGCACAGCACCAGCAAGGCCTCCACGTGGGGCATCTGCAGGAGGCTGCAAGAAGACGGTGCAGGCTGGTGGGGATGGGCCGGAGGGCTGAGGTTGAAAGCCACATCCATTCTTTGCCCCTCCCCTTGGTGTCTGGTCTCAGTCACACACATTCAGCATGGCCATGAGGCCCTAGAGGCCTTCAGACCAACTGCCTCCTTTTACAAAGGAGGAACTAAGGTCCAGGAAGGGGAAGTAATCTTCCCCAAAGCTGCAGTGCTAATCAGAGGCAGAGACAAGACCAGAACCCAGGCCCAGGTCCAGGGTCCGTAGCACTCCATCACGTGGAGAATGGGTGTCTAGGGCGGTGCTAAATGATGGTGACAGAGCAGGTGAGGCAGACAGTTGCTAGGCACGCCTGAAGCCCAAGCACGTCTGAGTGGGTCTTGGAAGCTGGGAAAGGCAGTTTCTCCTCCCCCAAAAAAAGGCAGCAGTGGGGATAGGGCTGGTAGCTGGGGTTGGCAGGTGGGGCCGGGGGAGGGGTGGTCAGAACTGCCTGTACCTGTCACGGGTTGGTTTTTTCCAGACGGGTTCTTCATCATACAGATCATTCATTTCATCCATTTCCTGGGCTGATCGAATGAGCTCCTGGATGTTCTCCATCATCATGGGAGTGGACTCCACTTCCCGCACCCGGGGAGTGAAGGAGAAAGGGTTGGAAGACACAAATTCAGACTGGAACTTGAGCTCTGGGTCTGTCTGCAGCCCAACCACTGACTCCAGTCCCTCCTCTGCCCCCTGGCCTTCCTCTTGCTTTCCCTCCTCCTCCATTTCCTCCTCTTGCTCTTCTTGCTCCTGTCCTTCCTCCTGCTTGTGTTCTTGCCCTTGCTCCTGCTTGCGCTCCTGCCCTTGCTCCTGCTTGCGCTCCTGCCCTTGCTCCTGGCCCCCCAGGGACAGGGAGGACTGTAGCAGCTCCTCCACGTTGTTGTTAAGCCTCTCCGGCCAGGGCTGGAAGGCCTGTCGTTCTGTGGCTGCAGAAGGGTTTGGGAAGGACCGAGAAAGAAAAATGGAAAGGAACAGTCACGCTTCTGGCCCCCGAGGGTCTTTGTTACAGAGGGACACACACAGAAACACAAAAGCACAAGAAAGCAGCCTAAATGACACTATTCACAGAGTCGAGTCTAAAAGACATGGGGAAGAATACGAATATCAAAATAAAAGAAAAATTGCCATGGTGCTTATGGCAATTGTGGTTCTCCTTTCCATCTCCCTGACAAGGGTTCCTCTTCCCTAACTCCCACCTCAAATCCCACCTTTTGTCCCTCTCACTTAGGAAACTCCAAAGATGCTGAATAGCTAGCAAGGAACCCTTTCTAGGGTGAAGATGGCGGCTTTTGAAAGTCCCAGAGGACGTCCAGATGCAGGAATATTTTGGGGAGCTGAGAAAAGCAAATTTTTCTTAGAATTGTAAGCACTGTCAGAAGATACTCTGGGCTGGGGAAAGCCCCACCTCATACTCATAAAAAAGCAATCTCCCGCCTTTTGTAACTGGCTGTGTGCTGCCAGAGCCTCCCACCCCCCAGCCCTGCTCGACATTCTTCCCCATTCCCTCCTGCCCCCCAATGCCTAAAGTCCTGGGCTCTGGGATTTCTGGAAAGGCTTGCAGGCAGCCTCACCGGTACTGGGAGGGTCTCACCTGTGATGTGAGATGAAAGTGGGGAGGTCACTGTGGTGGGAGGGACATCAGAGGAAGCGTCAATCTCCTTGATAGTGTTGGGAGAGAGGATCGAGACTGGCTGGGAGCAGCGGACCCTCTGTAAGGAGAGAGAGACAGTGGGCATGACCTTTCCCATAGGACAGACTTCTATTCCAGCTTCGGGCTCAGTCCTTTTCTGGCATGTCTCCTCTGTCACAGTTGCTGGGCAGGGAAGGAATATGTTACCTGGTAGAACCCTCTAGACCTGAGAAAGGGTTCCCCTGTGAGATAAGACTCCATGTCTGGGCCACACCTCTGCCTTCACTCTTGTGTTTGACTTTGAATGAGATCACTCAAGTGTTAGAAGCAAGGGGGGGCTTGTCCCTTTGCCTCTTCCCTTCCCTCTTCCCTACTTCTCTTGCAGGAACGAGATTGTTCTGACCGTCTGAATGCCCAAGGTGAGGCTGTACTCCTATGGAATCTGAGTAAAGGATTGGCAAAGTGGCAGGGAGGAAGGATCTCAGGATGGCCCTGCTGGAGCCCTTCCTCAACGCCTCACCCTTTCCACCTCCCTGTGGTCCTTGACGCCAAAGACAACGTTTGTCCCGGGCCTCACCTTAGAGTAGTAGACGTGGTTGGAGCAACGATATTGAGTAAATTGGCAGAAGGACTCAAACCAGGAGGCATAAGGGAGGTCAGAGCAGACAGCGCCTGAGAATGGGCAGGGGTGGAGAAGGTGAACACACAGAAGTGGAGGGGAACTCCCTTCCTGAGGGGGAGGGGCGGTGGGCTCCTTGGGTCTACAGAGTGGAGAATATGGCCTCAGGGTAAGGAGCAGGCCATACCCTTCCTGACTCAAGCGAGCACAGCCCCAGCGAGCACAGGGCTGCCCCACTAGTCTGGCCCTCACCGTCCGGCACCAAGCCGTGATTTTCATATTGGTCCAGCTGGACGAGGGTGGGATTCCGGCAGCCGTGCGTCGCACGGAGACGGCAGGTGGTCTCTGCTTTCCAGGTCGGGGTCAGCAGTGCGAAGAAGCGTTCATATTCGGTGGGAGAGAGAGGGCTGCCTGGAGTGGAGGCCGAAATTGAATCCTGGGCTGGGGCAGGTGGCAGAAGCAGGAGCAGCACTGCGGGGCAGGGAAACAGACCGAACTCCAATACCTGCTTGGGGCTCCTGGACAGACCGACTGGCAAGCGGACCCCGTGGAAATCAGCAAGTGTTGCGGGGGCGGGGGGGGGGGGGGCGTCTGGCCGGAGATCCCAGCGGATCAGGGTGACGAGATTCCTGGGGCAGAGGCTAAGGTCTGACCCCAGAAGCCAGGGAGCAAAGCCAAGGCGACCACCCTGAGAAGGCGTTTCGAAACCTTAAAGCATGGGCTCTTGGGAGGTGGAGGACTGAACCCAGGGAGGAAGACACTGCTCGGGCAGACGGGAAGCTCTCACCCTCGAGGAGTGAGAGAAGGAAGCCAGCGGCTAGCTTCCTCATGGCCCCAGTCGATCCGCCCGCGTTTCCCGGACCAAAGCGGCCTCTAACGGGCCAAGCCAGAGAGAGCCGGCGGGCGCGGGATCGCCGACGGGGGAGTAGAAGGTGCGGCGCTGACGTCACAAAGGGCCGGGGGCGGGGCCGCGGGAACAGCCGCGCGCTCCGGGTTCACCGCGCTGGCCTGGGGTGTAAGGGTCCTCACGCGAGTCATATCCCGCCCGCGGGGGGAAGTGACGGCAAAAGCTATCACTGACCCAGGACCTTCGACGGAGTAGGCCCCGTGTTGTTCCTTGTATTACCCTGTTTCATTCCCGAGGTAGTCCCAGCAAGTGGGTCCGTTATCCCTCTCCTACACATGACAAAACCGGGGTCTGGAGAACCAATCTGCCCCACGGTTGGTGAGACCTGGACGGGAATGTAGGCAGGGTTCTGGGGCAGGCAGGGACGGAGTGTACGGGAAAGTCAGGGTCCACCTGGGTAGGAACAAGAGAGAGCCTCCAGGTAAGAAATGAGCCAAAAGGGGAAACAAGCCGATTCAGGTGAGGAGGTGCTCAGGATTCCACCTGGTGGTTCAGTCAGAGGAAGTGGTTTCCCAGCGGGACGCAAGTAAGACAAGCCACTGGCACAAGGGAAAAATGCTTTTCCGTGTTGTGTTTAAAATAAGAAATCAAGCTAATATAATAGTACGTGCATAAAACACAAATACACATTTATTGGAAATTAAGTGAAAGATGCTTTATGGAGAAAAGATGCATAATTTTAAAGTCTGGGAAAGCCCAGGTCTGAGGCAACTCCCCCCTCAAACTCTGCCTTTCTCAAGGTGAGATGTTGTGGATTCTAGTGCAGAGGTACCGCTTCTGGTTCCATGTCTTGTTCTACTTCCTCCCACGTCTAATCCAACCCAGATGATGCAAACAAAATGGATAGCACATGTACTAAAACACAGTCTCTACAATAAACACAGCAGGCCAACATGGATATCTTTTATTCACCTACTCAAGTTGCTTTACACGTGAGTTACGTGCACTCCACCTTGCTCCCTCTCCCATTCACAAAGCCAGGATGAATTCTCTTGGCACAGAGGAAGGGGTACCCCTTCAACTAAGGCCACAGCCCAGATGCTCTGGGGGAGCCCCCACCGTGGAAAAAGCAGGAAGAGAACAAAGAGAGTTTATCACACCAGAGACCCCCCTACAGGGGGAGGGAGTCAGGAGGGCTAGGGAGTGCCCCCATGCTACTGCCCCAGTCCTTAAATACAAAGCAAGGGGAGTGAAGAGGACCATCCCTTGGAAATACAGCACCAACCTCAGCACGGAGGCAAAAGGACAGTGGGCAAGACCACTTCCCTCTGAGGGGGGCAGACAATGAGAGCACAGATGTTTAGCAGCGGCGGCACCCCTCCCTTCCAGGGTTTGGATGCAGCCTCAGCACCAGGAGTGGGGAGAGGGGAGGAGAAGGGATGACTACACTGTGCCATCCACTCTCCCTGGGCCCCTGAGCCCCAGCACAGGCTTTCCTCTCCCCACTAGCCTGGGTCCAGGGATGTGGAAGAAACCGTGGGAATCCATCGCCCCTATCTATTTCTTCTTGCGTTCCTGGGAGCAGCGTGGGCAGAACCTAGAGAGGAACAATGTGACAGAGGCGGAGGGAGAAAGTGAGTGAGAGGGGGTGCCCTCCACCACGCAGCTCAGGGGCAGCCCGGCGCCTGCCGCAACTCTCTCACTCACCACTTCCCCCGAGGCTTGGTCGTCAGCCCCACACAGGCAAAGTGGAACCACTCGATGGAACACTGAAAAGGAGGAAGATGGAAGAAGCAGAAGTCAGGGGCTTGGGGCAGGGGGCTGAGTAAAGAAAAGAAGTTTCCTCCACAGATTCCTCAGAAGTGTTCCCGTATTCCGTCCCTTTGGAGAAATCTTGGAGGTCCCAAGGCCAACCAACTCCACCTTCCTCTTATTCTGCAGTCCCACTATTCAACCGTTTCTTCCCCTCTTGTACCCGCTCCCTCGTGGCCCCCAGAACCCCATCTGGAGGCAAAACGGTTGGTTCTCACATCAGGGTTGTCACAGCCAATCATCTCTCCATAGGAGACCTGGTGACAAAGGCAATAGGTGGGTTCGTTGGGATCCACAGGCATATCCAACACATCAGAGGGGTGGACACTGCCAAAGGTCACTGAGGGCATCCCATACTCAGGACTTCTGCATGCCGAGAGGAAGAGAACGTGTCATCTGCAGAAAGGGAAGCTACAGAGGTGTAGAAAGACATCCTGGTGGGGCAAGTGACTTGTGGCGTCTCTTCTCTATCCAGCAAATACCACAATGATGAGGAGAAGTTACTGGCACAGAAGATGGAGAGAGTGGCAAGGGGCAGTGTGGGGTGGGAGTGAGGGACAGGAGAAAAAAATATGCCTCATGGCAAAGTGCCCCCCCCATACACTCACGTGCGCACAAGTTTCAACTTCTTCTGGGCAGCTTTGGGAGCTTCTTCATCTGAGTTTTTCCCTTTGGAACGAGCACGGGCAGCCTTCTTCTCCTTTTGAGTCCGGCCTTCTAGGAAAGAGGGGGAAAGCCAGAAGGCAGGGAGACAGAAAGATGGGTTAAGTCTTCTTGCTTCCCCCTCCTTCCAAGCTGGTGCCCCTCCCTGGTAGCTCAAGGGTGGCTGCTTCTCCCTCGGAATCCTCGCCCCTCCTCAGGCCCCGCCCCCCTCCTCACTCTTTTTGCCTTTGCTAGAAGAGCTGTCATAGTCACTGGACTCAATCTGCTTCTCCTTCAAATCAGCCTCAAAACGGGCCAGGTCTGTGTCCAGTCGCCGAATGTGTTTGTCCACCTAGGGGTGAGGAAGGAAAAGAGAGAGCTACAAGGCTGGTTCAGGCCAAAGAAAATAAGGCTAAGGCACATTCTATGTATCTCCCAAACCCAAAACAGATCCCGACACAGCTGAAGGAGGGGTCTAGGACCCCAAGGATTGGATGGGAGGTAGGTAGGGAGCCGTGAACAGGGCCATACCATCTCATAGGTCTGCATGGCAAGCTGCACCTTGTCGTCACCAAATTCCTTGCATTTGCCATAGGCTTCCTGGATCTGTTTGAGGAGGGCCAATTTTTCCTCGGAGCTCAGGCTGCGGGCGCTATTCATATACTCAGTGGCCAACTTGTCAATTTCAGCCTTCAGGTCTACAACAGAGACAGAGGCCTGGTCACAAAGGCCCCTGAGTGGCTACGTGAAACACACTTCTTCCTCTTGTTTCTTGGGCGTTTTCCATTGACCATCATCATAACCTTCGAACTAAAATGCCCTGAAAGTTCATAGGTACTGCGCCATTTACTCAAGTAATGCAACATAGTGACAGAATTTGTTTTAAAGGTGCCTTCAGGTGCAGAAAACATTGCTACCATAGTTGGAACTGAACTTACTAGTGAAAAATGAGGGAGGGAGTCTTTGCACACCGTACTAATATGAAGTATATTTTTGTTCGTGTCTGCAGATGCTGCTTTGAAAGGCTTGGTGCTTCTTGAACCATGAATCTTGTCTCACAGGCTTCCGGATTTCTTGTCTCAAAAACATTCCAGCTCTGAGTGCTGTGAAGCCGGCTGGGTCATCTGCTGCGGCCGCCTTCCAGGTCTGTACATCTGTGACTCATCGTTTAAAACTAGGCCCTAGTTCATTTATGTAACAGTTCTTCTACCCTACTGTGCTCATCGTCTGCAACCTGCTCGTATTTCTCATCACTTTTTCTGTGTTCATCTTAGACATTGCTCCGAATGTTTTCATACCAGAAGGCTGACGATGTCCCCAGACACTGAGACTATAGATGCTTACTGCCTGCTCTCTGGTAGGACTCATAAAAAATGTCATGAAAAGAGACAAAAGAGTGACTGTAACGTGGTGCAATGACAGACAACCGGAAGGATCTGTGTACAACTATGTTTGTGCCCCATTTTGTGGGAGGCCTTTGGAGGAAGCTGAAAATGCATGTAGTTTGATAATCTCCCAACCGGTCTTTCTGTGCGCGAACTTAAGAGTAGGAACTGTGATACAAAGGAAGCAAGCTGGTTCTCAGAATTCGGCAGGCGGTTCTCGGGGTTGGGGAGAGGGAAGCCTACCTCCAGGATTTTACATCATGTTCACCTTTTCATGAGTAAACTTACCCAGAGTAACTGAAATCACAGCTTTAGGTTTTCTAAGACCAGCTTGTCACATCCTTGAGCATGGCTACTTAAGAATGGAAGGTAAGACCTATATATCCTTCAGCAGGTACGGGGCATGGCTCCAACAGATGACATCTTTGCCCTTGAAGAGACCAATCTGACCACTGCAGTGTAGCCTCAGGCTCCAAGTGAATGCCTCAATAAAGCCAGATTTGCTCAACATCCAAGGAAGGCCACAGATGGTATCTATTGCTTCTGTAAGGTTGAAGAATACAGTGTAGCGATCCTGTTGTTAATTGCCACTTTTCCTTCTTTTTTTTCTCTCTCTTTTTAAGGACTTCTCTACCACCATGACTAACAATCCAGCAGAGTAGAAACATCCTAGTCTTTCTATAGATTTACTGAATACAGAGAATAGCAACGATTCTCGAGTTGACTTCTTTTTCAATTCTTCTTGCAGATATCAAGAACAGAGCACCTTTGAATTCTTGAGGCCTTATTGCAGTACTCTATCATGGAAATGCTGATCTAGAAATGCAGAACTTCACTGCTCTCCTTTTAAGAATTGCAAGAGAGTCAAAGAGAGAGAAGCCACAGTTTTCCAGATCAGACCAGATGATATGGTAACACCAAGCAGGAGAAAGAAAAGATCATACACACTCATTATACACACAAACTCCTTACTCTGTACGTACCCTCTGTTCTTTGGTCCAGGTCCCTCATGAGCTGAAAGTTTCTCTGCAGTTCGAAGGGGAGGTTTTCGATACCTAGGCAGAAGAAGAAAAACTGAGAATCACAGCCCTTTATAGGTTTATAGCTGCTTTTAAAGCACAGATCCAAAAGGGGACTCAGGAAAAGAGTCCCTCCTTGGCATGGCTGGATTTATCCAGAACAGTACTCATCATTCCCTTCTCAGTGGAGGCCGTGTCTGTATCTCTCCACGATTCACTCTGCCATCTCTTCACAGCTTTCCCACCATTTGCCCCTTCAGTGACCTTCCTCAATCAATCAGCCCCTCCTTTTCCTTGATTCCCTCCAAACTCCTTGCCCTCAACCCAAATACCCACCTGGTATCCTCCACTCATCACACACACACTTCCAATCTGCTCTCTGTATCACAGTCAGAAGAGTCTCTTAAAAAATGCAAATCTTGTCAAATCACTCTCCTGCTTTATAACCATCTGGTAACTTCCTATCACACAACTCCTATTCCTACTTTATATTTTCTGGCCCATGTTCGCCTTACTGCAGCCTTGACTCAGGTCATTCCCCGTTTGTGCTCTGTCTGCTCTCATCAGACTGGCCTTCTCTGAGTGCCAACTTGCCAGGGCTTGTCCTGCTGCCCAGCTTTCCACGTGCTGCTTTCTGTCCTGAATGACTGCTTATTCTTTGTCCCACCTTCACCATACTTCTTGGCCTACTAAACTCCTGTTCATTCCTCAAGTTTCAGTTCAACTCTGAGTTCTCCAGACTCCAAGTGCCCTTGATGATGCCATCAAGTTTTTCTGGCTCTACCCTTTTGGGCACTTATCCAACTGCAATTAAATCATGAATTGTGCAACCAGTTATTTGGTATCTATCTCCCTAGCCCTCCAAAAGGACTGGACACATCTCTCTTGCTTATTTTGCTATGACTTGCGTACAGAGGGTCTTCCATAAATACTTGAATGCATGCACACAGAACTCAAGTCTCTCCATGAAAGAAAAATCTCTTCCCATGACTCCATTTCAAACTTCTAAAATACCTCCACTGCTTTAACCTATAATGTCAGGTCTGCCACCACCAGCTTACTGAGATTACTTTAAGTCACCAGTGACTTACCAAAACAAATGATCTGTTATTCGTCCTATCTTATCAAATATGGCTGCAGCACTTGGCACCATCTTCTTCCCTTCAGTAACTTTCTTCCTCTTAGGATTCCAAAACTCCTCATATGCTTTCTGATAATTCCAACAGTGATGTTTCTTTAGCCTGTCCCTTTAATGTTAATGTTTTCTTGAGATTATACTTTAATCCTCTCATTTTCCCACCTTCTTTAACATTCTCTGAATGATCTCCATCTCACTCACTCTCATAATTACCATGCCTATGCTTAAGTTTAAACTGAATTAGGTATATTGCTGTTACTCCTGATTCCCTATCTTGCTGATGGTATCATATTCACCTTGCTTCCCAAGCAGGAAATCAAGGAGTCACCTTAGATTCTTCCTTCTCTCTCAACCAGTCAATCAATCAGTGTTGTCCTTTTAGCTCTTAAAGACTTCTGTCACTCTCTGAGACCTGAACTTATCATACATCAGTTGTTTTCCTTTATTAAAACTTGTTTTTATAAAATCTGTTGGTTCTTTATGCTATCTAAAGTACAAGCCTCTTAGCTTGACTGAAAAGACCTTGCACAATCTAGCCCCAACATCTCTCCAGCCTCACTTCCCAATCTCCCACCTTAGAGTCCTATATATCAAGCACTCTGACTTCACTTTTCCTTGACCTGCCACAAACCCACCTTAATACCTTTGCTGATACCTTCCCCAATCAGAAATTTCCTTTATTTCTCCACCCTCGCAAATAAACACTCAATTTTCAAATCTGTGATAGCCTTACCTACATCCCCAGGGAATTAGCCCCTCTTTCTCCAGTGCTACCAAGTGTCCTTCTGACGTATTTCTATTATTTCACTTGTCACGGTTTTATGATTATTTATTAGCAGAATCGGTTTCCTCCTAGATTATGAGCACTTGAGTGCAGGGTCTGTGTCTTATTCATTTTGGTATCTCCGCAGTACCTGCCATTATGTCTGACACAGAGCAGGGCCTCGATAAATGAATGGATGAATGGATGACTCCCAACACTAAGACAAATGTAAGCGCATAAGGGTGACAGGCTTTGTGAAGGGGTGGTTTACACAAATGGCATAAACCTAACACCAGATTTCCATATGATAGGAAATGGATCTTTACTCCAAGAAGAGAAGCGTTCCAGTTTACCATCTGCAGTGGTCACTCACAACCCCCGATCCCCATGAGAAACCGCTTCAGAGAAAGAACTGAGCGGAGGAGCTGCGAGCTGGTCTTTGTCGTTGCTCCAAATGGCAGTGGGTGATACACTAAAACGACCGATCCTGAACGATCGGGGGTGGAGGGGTGGTGGCGGTGAATAGCCTGAGGCTGGAGACCCTGGAGATGGGCTCGGCAAATACCTTCCCAGCTCTGCCCATTAGCCCTGAGACATCCCCTCAGCCCCACCGCGCAGCCCCTCCCTCTTCTACACCCAAAAGCCAGGCCTCGACCCTGCTGCCCCGCCCCCTCTTTCTTCACACCCTCCAGTATTTTCTCTCACGGAACCCCTTCGTAATTGTGACTTTCTGACCACCGGGACTTCGGGGCCGTACATTTCCTCAGCCCCGATCCCCCACGCCACTCTATGACCCCTGACCCCCTCCTCCAGCCTGCTCTTACTGTCCAGATAATGTTCCAAATACATCCCCGCAGCCATCTTGAAGCAAAACAAAGCAACTTCCGATCCGCCCCGGAAGTGACTGGAACGCAACAGGCGCTGAAGCTATTATCCTTGGGTTGGAGCCTTTCCGCCCTTAAAAGGAGAGCTTCCGCCCTCAGTAAATTTTTCGCGGGGACACATCCGCCCGACGTTGATACTTTCCTTTTTGCGTAGGTAGCCAGGGCGGCCGGTGCCGCGGTACCTGAGGTGGCTTTAGCCCGCTTCCGCCCTTACTGAGAGCCCGGTACGCGACCGAAGCAGGCATGACGTCACTGCGGGTCGCCATTTTGCATTCCCTATCAAACTTTTTTTTCCCTCCAAAACCAGGATGTGAGGTTATGAGGAGCAGAAAAGCCCTTGTCTCTTTAGGGTAGTATTCCATAAATATAGCTTTTTAGCGACTGGGGACCTTTTCTCCTTTTTGCAGGATATTAATCTAGTAACCACAGCAGGTCCTGGCTGAATCCAGACTTTCTTCAAGGTAGCTACTTTCTTAACGAAGTTGGGGAGGCGTAGCTGGTGTTGCGAGATTTAAACCCTCCGCGTTTCTTTTCAGTCGCAAGAACATCAGCTCCCCGGGATTATTTTTTTTAACATGGAAGAAATTCATTATTTATAAACTCTTATAAATACAAAGACTTACACAATAAAGCTGTAGTTCTTCACACTTGTCAGGGTTCCTGTCCTTCCATACTCGAATACATTCTCACATATATAATGACATAGTACTTATGGCCTTGCCCCTTGTTTTGGTTCCCCCCCCTTTTTTTGTTTTCCAGTTTTATATGATGTTAACTAGCACCATGATTCTGAGAGGACTGGAGCATGGAGCTCTGTCACAACTGGGCCAGCTGTCATCCTAGTCAACCACAGCACGGTAAGGACTTTTTTCAACCAAGTGCATGACAGGCTGCCCCCACACCAGGGAAACAACTCAAAGCCCATACTTTAATAGTGGTGTTAGTAAGAGCGTTTTAGAGACTGTTGTCTGCCCACCCCCCTCCCCACCCCCGCAACTCACACATTTGTGGTAATTATCAATGCCACAGGGCAGCGTTTTAAAGAAAGATTTTCAGTCACTTACTTTAGACCAAATATGTGAAGAAGGGTAAGATGAAACCTCAGGTTTACTACTAAGTGGTAAGATAGTGCAGTTGGATCTAGAAGACTTCACTCGAAGTGTCCCTGGATAAGCAATTTAATTTCTGAGTTTCTGACTAGTAGTACCTACCTCATAGAGTTCTTCCTATGATTGTGAGGGAATCCTTAAAAAGAGTAGATTCTGGTTCTAATACCTGTGGTGAAGATAGTGCGGTCAGGGGATTTTCAGCAATTGGTGAGAGCATAGGAAAAAAGTACTCAGAAGCTAGCAGACATTGACAGATTTCATCATAGATAACACATTCGTGTCACAGCTCCGACTGAGAGGTCTTCGATGCCCACCCGAGACTGGCTGAGCCCAAAACTTAAGTGGGCATCACTTCATGGCCTATCCACATTCTTCCAGGTCATGAGCATGGTTGTCCAGCAGTACGCAGATAGCCATGTTATTCAATGTTGGAGATTTGTCACATTTTCAGTGCTTAAAGGTTTTTAATTATCAAAAAAAGGAATCTCAGAGGTGATCTAGTCCCATCCTTTCTAATTAACAGCTGAAGAAGCCTCCCGGTAAACACTGGTTGGCGGTAGAGCCAGAGCTGAAGTCCAGGTTTCCTGACCACGTTCTACTTTTCAAGCACAACTGTCCTGCATTGTTACTCATTTCTGGTTATGGCACCCGCCACTGCCAACCTATGGATATGGATAACAGATAGATGTATGTACACACTCTGCCAACTGGAATTAGCCCTGAGCCTGGTGATGCTCAAGCAGGAGTGCAGGCCATTTCAAGAGGCCGTGCTCCCATTTCTTTCACGGGGAGCTTACTGGTTTTACTAACACATGACTGAAACCTTGCTCTCATATACTTAGGCATCGCAGGCCCCATGACAGGATTTGTATGTAGAAACCCTCATAAACCAGTATCTCACTTTAAGTATTGAAGCTGTGGTCTTCTACACTTGGGGATACACACACAAGATTCTCATCACACAGCACTCACTCTTCACACATACACATGCTACTGTAAATTCTTAGTACTGTCCTTGAACATCTCCCCAGTAGCTTCTTCCCATGCTCGCTCATATCAGCAGCTCCACTGCCTCTGATCCTTTTACATGAATTTATTTCTATACAAGGTTCTAAAAACACCCCTTGGTTTGTACATAAGTTTTTTTTTCTTCATTTTAAATTGCTTTATAACAACTGGTTTCCTGATTTTTTTCATTTTCTCTTTGAAATCTGCCATGATTTAAAAACAAACAAATAAAAAGGACAAAAGGAAATAAAAATGCCGTTGGCCAGAAGACAGGGTAGGTGGAGAAAAACAAAAAGGACAAAAATAAACAAAACATCAAATATGAAAATTCTCAGAGATAATGCATTTATAAACACAGAAATGGTTACAACAAAGATGGCCGTGATGAGTGGGTATATATATATATATTTATATATATATTTATATATAAATCCGTGTCCGGCAACTGACCGTGGCACCTAGGGAGCTAAGTCCAGTCCTTGTGTTTGCCCTGAACTCTCCCTTCTCTGCAACATCCCTTGTTTTGGGCTTTCGTAAAGAACACAAAGCTCCCACAGCTCCTCTGGCTTTGGGACTGGGAGACTGAGTATAGGGCCTTGGCTGGCAGAGAAGGGGAGAGGCTCCAAGGAAAACCATAACCCACACTTCTAAGCCACCCTTGACCATTTTGGGGATCTCTGGCCCCTTGGGGACCACATCTCAGCCCTTGCCCCTTTAGAAATAAAGGGGGTCTGACCCCCACCCAGATCTCCCTCTTCCAGAATTAGGTAGGAAGTGAAGTGAGACCACGAGGGGAAGACGGCTCCTGGGGATCGGGGCATGTGAGAAACCTCTGTTCTTTTGCAGACAAGAATAGAATGGGAGGCTGGTTGCCTTTAGGGCTCCCTTCTCTCAGAGATCTGGGAGGACCAGCCTCTAGTCTTCCACCAACCCCAACTTTGAGGATTATGAGGGTAACGAGAGGGTAAGTGCCCACACTGGAAAAGTTTCTATGAGGTCATAGCAAATCCCTCCCTTGAGCACCAACCCCCAATTTTGAAAAGCTATGCTTAGAAGGGGAGGCTGCTGGATCATACTACCAGCGTATTATTCCTTTGCCAATCAGGAGGGCTGATGTTCCTTTTGAAGAGGAGTTGAGAATAAGCATGGTATCCTGTGCAGGAAGGCCGTGCCTGAGGCCCAAGGAGATGGAGCCAAGGCCTGTCAAGGAAGAAGACTTTTCCCACCAAGAGAAGTTGGAGAAAGAAGGGACCAGAACTTCTTTCCCCTCTTCCCAGTGGGTGGCAGCACAGGTCTCTACGAGCTGGCCAGGTGCTCCACCTGGATGGTGCTGGTGGTGACAGTGAGGCAGATGTCCTTATGATGCTCCGCCGTCTTATAAGGGGTCAGGTCAAAGGAACACTGGGGTGGAGGGTTGGGGTTGCTGTCCCCGCCGCCCCCACCCTGGGGGGCTGCCCCAGGGGACTGGAAGTGTGGTGGCTGTGGCTGCTGCTGCTGCTGCTGCTGTGATGCCTGGGAGGCCTGGGCTTGAGCCTGGGCTTGGGCTTGGGCTTGGGCTTGGGCTTGGGCTTGGGCCTGGGCCTGGGCCTGGGCCTGAGCCTGAGCCTGGGCCTGGGCCTGAGCCTGAGCCTGGGCCTGGGCCTGGGCCACTGCCGCCGCCGCCGCCGCCGCCTGCACTTGTTGCTGGAGATCAGGAGGGTTGTGTTTCCGCATATGTTTCATAAGGTACGTTTCCTGAAGGAGACGGTGAAGAAGAATTGAGGGATGAAAGAGAAGGAAAGAGGTTACTTATAACCAGCATCCTGGGCTCTTATTTTACTTTATAAATAGAGCCATAATTCAACAGAGACATTCTGGAGCCGTGGGCAAGTTCTCCCCAGGAGCCTCTGCCAGTGCTCACTCTTGGGCAGGAAGGAAAGGGGAAACCTTCACGGTCACGGTAGGCATTCAACCTGCCTCAGGAAAAGTGGTCATTTCCCCAAAGATCTTTGAATGGAAGGACTTTGCCACCTTTTCCTGGAGTCTAATGGAAAACATCTAACTGAAATCTTTCTCCCCAAATTGCAAGTTATTTTGACTTGAGTTTAAGTAAAATTAAGAATCATTGCTTGGCAATCTTCCTCTATAGGCTTAAGGAATCAGGCACCCCCCAAATTCCTTAGCTACAGATCTATTTAATTTCTCCTCTCTTTATTGATTTTGGTGAGCTGGTGTTAGGGAGATTCCGTATAGTCAAGGCAGCACCTCTCCCTCCGGGAAAATGGGGTAAGGCGGACTGTGGTCCTCCTGGCCTGTGGGGGAACGAAGGGTGAGCACGAGCAGGAGCACTCACCGACGTGTATGCCCGACTACAGATAGTGCAGGTGTACACCTTGGCGTGTTTCACCGTGTGCGTAGACAGGTGCACCTCGAGGGAGGCTGCGTCCGTGTACGCCCGATGACAATTGTGGCACTTGAAGGGTTTATCTTTGTTGTGCTGCCGTCTGTGGGACTGGGAAAATGAGGAAAAATCAGGATAAGGGCATCAGACTCATCCTTCCTGCCTCTTTGACCCTTAATGCCAGAGTGCTGAGCTGAGTGTCAGCCTGCCAGCTTCTCTCTCCATCTGAAGGTAGTAGGAACTGCTTTCAATAAAACTTGAGGAGTTACAGGCTAAGGGAAGAGGTGTAGCTCCTGCGGCATATTCCAGGATCCTGAAAAGCGGGAAGGACGCTATGCTGGCCCCACTGGCCCAGTGGTTCCCAAGGCAAAGCATGGGGGTGAGGCCAGGGAATACCAAGACTTCTCTACAGAGCCTCCAAAGTCAAAACACTTTTCAAAATTATGGTAAGACCACGTCTGCCTTTTCATTCTCCTTCTCTCATGACTGTACAGAGATTCTGTGATGTTTAACGGAGCAAAGACTGAGCATGGCAGGCAAGAGTATCTA